GGGGGGGGGGGGGGGGGGGGGACACTGTTCAGTGATTTGTAGACATACATGAGTATTTTGAACTGGATTCAAAGGTGAACCGGTAACCATTGCAGTGAGGCCAAAACTGGTGTAATGTGCTCTCTTTTGCCTGTACTGGTTAAAAATGGGGCTGCTGCATTCTGGACCAGTTGTAGTCGTGCAATGGAGGTCTGACTGATACCAAACAGGAGTGAATTGCAGTAATCAAGCCTAGATGTAATGAATGCATGTATTACTGTCTCCAGGTTATTTTTGGACAATATGGGCTTCAGTTTAGACAGCCGCCTCAGTTGGAAGAAACATGATTTAAATATCATGTTTACAGGATTGTTAAGTTTCAGGGAAGGGTCCATTATCACGCCCAGATTAGTGACTCTTTGTTTTTCTGACAGGGTTAGAGCGGAGAGGTCAATGCAGTGGTTTGTGATCATGTCATTGGGAGGGAACAACATGACTTTAGACTTCTTTTCATTGAAATTTAAGTTTAAAGCCATCCAGTCCCTGATGTCACCCAGGCAGTCGAGCAGCGGTTGAATAGAGCATGTACCATTGTGTCTTAGTGGGAAGTAAATTTGACAGTAATCGGCATAGAAGTGGAAGGGCATGTTGTGTTTCTGGAAAATAGCACCAAGCGGCAGCAGGTATAAAGAGAATAGGAGGGGACCCAGGATGGACCCCTGCGGAACCCCCCATTTAAGCTCTGCCTCTGCGGAACTAAAATCCTTGATGGAGACACAAAAGGATCTGTCAGTGAGGTAAGATCTGAACCAATTGAGGGCTGATCCTGTGATGCCCACCCACTGCTCCAACCTAGCATTGAGGATCTCATGGTCGATGGTGTCAAAGGCGGCTGTGAGGTCCAACAGGACAAGCAGCACAGAATCACCGGTATCTGTGAATCTGAAGATGTCGTTAAAGACCTTCAGCAGGGCAGTTTCAGTGCTGTGGAGAGGTTTAAAGCCAGATTGGAAAAGCTCTAAGATGGCGTGATCCTCCAGGAAGCACTTCAACTGGGACTGGACTATTTTCTCCAGTACTTTAGAAACAAATGGGAGTTTGGAGACAGGCCGGAAGTTGGACACGACTGAGGGGTCAAGGTTAGGTTTTTTCAGGAGAGGCTGGACAGCAGCATGTTTAAAGGTTTTTGGCACCACACCAGTGGATAAACTACTGTTTACTATATCAAGAATGGACGGACCTAGAGTTGGAAACACCTCCTTTAGTAGTCGAGGGGGGGACCACATCAAAGGGGGAACCAGGTTTCAAGCTGCACATGACCTGCTCTAGAGAAGATAGAGTGATGGGTTCAAAATGGTCAACTAGAGCTGCAGATTGAGGTGGGATGGATGGGTCATGAGTTGGAGGAGAAATGAGAGCCCTGGTGGTCGCAATTTTTTCCAAAAAGAAATGTAAGAAGTTGTCGCACAGCTCAGTCGAGGCTTCCAGAGGTGATGGTTCAGTGAGGTGGAGAACAGAGTTTAGGGTGGAGAAGAGGACACGTGGGTTGCGAGAGTTTGAGGTAATTATATCAGAAAAGTATTTGGATTTTGCAGCTTTCACTGTTTTCTGATAACGATGCCAACTCTCCTTAAGTATTTGAAAAGAGACCTGCAGCCTGTCTTTCCTCCACTTGAGCTCCGCCCTCCTACATTGCTGCCTAGCGGCCTTGGTGACGTCACTCAGCCAAGGTTCTGCTCTGTGTTTTGATTTTTTGGTTTTAATAGGCGCAACATGATCCAGAGTCTTTAAGCAGACAGAGTTGAACTGGGATGTCAGCTCCTCAGTGGTGGAAAGAAACACTGGGGGCTGAATTATCATTTCAGAGTTATAAACATCAGTGAAATGTGCGGCAGTGAAGTGGTTAATGGTCCGGCAGCGATGTGCAGGAATGCACGGCTTAGGAGTTAGATGGGGGAGGTTGAACTCGAACTGGACTGGCATGTGGTCTGAAAAAACATTATCACCAATTTCAAGATTACTAACAGTCACATCACGAGTTAAAACAAGGTCCAGTGTATGTCCACGCTCTTGGGTGGGACTGTTTACATGCTGAGTTAGATTAAATGAGTCCAATACATCTAAAAAGTCCTTAACCAAGGGC